GGGGGGGGGGAGAGAAAGAGGGGGAGAGGGGGCAGGTGAAGCAAGCAGCAGTGATGGATGACCAGGCAGGAGCTGAGGGGACGACGACCGAGCTGCTTTGGGGACACGAGTTGTGCCGGGCAATGAGGCACAGCCGTAGTAGGGTGCCGGAAGCCGGTCCATCCTTGCTGCTTGACACAGTCGCTGCAGGAAAGAAACATCTACACAGCATATGTTTCAAGGGACCTGGCCGCTTCCCCCCTCCCTCCCCGAGGAACCCAGTGTGTCTGCTCTCTAGGTGGGCCACTCACCCCACGGTTTACCACGAGGAGAATCTAACTAATGTCTAAGAAAAAAGAGAAGTTACGTTTACTGATACACAGTGCGGCAACTGACAGCAGAGCATGTGTCGCATTTTTAAAAAGCATGTGTCATGAGGGCGTGTACTCCGTGTTTTGCGGGTGGAATACGTGGTCACAACGATCTGGAGACCAGTGCTCTGCAGACAGAATCTAGGTTTTGGGGGGAACCTGGGCTTGGGGTCTAATCTCAGCTTCAGGGTGTGTGGCCCTCAGTGACTGACTCAAATGGCCTGACTCTGTTTCCCGGGGTGTGAAGGGGACAGCAGGGGTGGCTGTGCAGTCGGGGCACCACCGGCCCGTGGCTGGCCGCACAGAGGGGAGCTGCACGCTCCTGCTTACCTTGCCAGTAAAGGGGTTTCTCTCAGACCGGACGACATTGGCCACCATGTCACAGAAGTCCACCCCATTTGGGAGCTCATTCGGCTTAGAGTCGCTAAACTGGGGGCAGTGGTAGAGCTCGGCCAACAGCTTTTTATCTGCCGTTCTCTGAAGCAAAAGGGCAGAATATGAAAATGGGGTGCATCATTTCGACAGTTTAAGACAATAAGATATCTTCCCCTTTACGTCATAAAGACAATAAAACAACCTTACAGAGCATTGGGGAAAAGGAAGGTGTGTCCATGATCCCAGCACCTCTCACCAAACACCCATTCACATGATTTCTATTTTCCCTTTCGGGCTTGGAGCACATGTCTACAGATGTTTTAGGAAACTTCCTTTTACCACACACACACACACACACATACACATACTTTTATGTCCTGCTCTATCCATTTAACTTTAGATTTTTCACACTGCTACACTATCTAAGTTTATCATCTATAATAATGTATCCTGTTAATGGGCTATAATTTAATTAACAGTTAATTACTTCCAATTAATACTACTGCCATTACCTGGTCAGGGCACATACCCAGGTTACAGGTTTGATCCCCGGTCGGGTTGTGTATGGGAGGCAACAGATCCATGTTTCACTTTCAGATTGATGTTTCTCTCTCTCTAAAATCAATAAAAATATATTTAAAAAAAACCACTACTGCCTTACTTCCAATTAATACTACTGCCATTACCTGGTCAGGGCACATACCCAGGTTACAGGTTTGATCCCCGGTCGGGTTGTGTATGGGAGGCAACAGATCCATGTTTCACTTTCAGATTG